ACCTTAAAGCTAGCTGTCATCTTTAATATACTACCCCAAAACCCCAAAACCCCATAAGGATATCAATCGTAAGTATGGGTGGTAGGTATTTGAAATTTACGATAAAAAATTAGGAATTACGATTAAGATTAGTTAAAATATTTAATAAAAGCGATTAAGGAATAAAAAATTGTTAAAACTTTCTTTAAATCTCATATATGAAGAATATGTGAATATAAAACACAAATTTTTCATGCTCTGATACTATTAAATTAAACATTTGGAATCTATAATCTGCCATTAAAACTAATTTTCTAATTTCCAATTCATGATATTTTCCTTAAAAAGTCAAAAGTTCTATCAAGTTATGTGAATTCATCTACTCACAATTCATCCCACATTTCAATTACTTAATTTTAAATTCTAGAAGTATTGAGTACAAATGTTTATCTTTAACTCAACAGGAAATATCGTCTGGGATTTCATAAACATTATGAGAAAATCTATTTCTTTTTATTTGCAAAAATCAAAGGGCATAAAATGAATTAGGAGTCAAGAGCAACAGATATTGATTATATTTAAATTATTTGGAATTCGATGAAAATCTTCAATAACTCATCAATTAACACCTGATTTAACTAAGCTCCAATATTTTATAGCACACAAAAGTGGATGCTATTGCATGATTATCTTAGAACAAAATTAATTGTATCTTAGGAATAAAAATCATCAAGTTAATTCCTCTAAGTATAGTAAAAATCGTTTTTGTATTGTTCTTTTGGGATTTCAATCAGAATAAATGGTTTTAAAATTATGCTGTACTCAAATATTACATATGTTGTTTCAATTTGAAAATTATCACAGTCTCTAGTTAGAAGTTGTTTCAATATGTAGTTTTTCCTCCTACTATTTACTTGTACAATATTTTATATGCATTTTCTGGGTAAGATATTAAAGTTTGAGAAAAAAATGTCAACTCCAACTCAAATTAAATTGGAAGTATGTATCAAGAAGAGGTTTATCAATGATATTCCTCAAATCAAGACTTGTAAATTTTCAAAAATCCATATTTATTTGCTAGCTTTGTATCAATAATAAGCTTTAAGTATTTAAAATCTTTTTCCTTCAAATCTCAGGCATTATATGCCCACTCAAGATAGTAGAAAGGTTTATAACTGAAGCATTAAAGCAACAATCAATCAAATTTAGCATCAGTTATTTTATGAACTTCTAAATGCTTTCCTCTCATCATTTAATACTTCATTTATGGTAACTATTTCTCATTTATTTTTTCGAACAATTTCTACGAACTATTTACCTGTATTAAGATATGCTCATCCCCTTTTATTCCAAAAAGTATGGACTCAATAAACTTTTGATTTTCGATGCCATTTTTAATAACTCAGAACAGCAGATTCGACTAGCTTTAATTCTTTGAACATATTGATTGATTCTTGCAATTTCATAGAGTTAACTGCATCAGGATGAGGCATCGAGGCAATGCTCTTGTCTTTGAGATCTTGGAAATATTATTCAAGCTGATAGGAGGTAGAAGCAATAATCGATGCATTTTAGCTTAAATTTATTAAACGTAATTAATTAAATCTTATTTTGTGATACGAAAAGTTCATGGAAATAGAAATCACAGAGCATTACAAGCCCTCAAAGATGCTGCAAATTCCTCAATTGAAATCCACTCTGCATAGACTTAAAAAAGTGATAATGCCGATAGCTTCACCTCAGGAGTTTGAATAGTACAGGATTATTATGAAAGATTTCGAGGAAGGCTTCGGACAGGATCTACAGAGAAGGCTTCAACGATACGCCTCATAACATGAGATATGGCATGAATAGATATGGAAAGATCATGAGTTTTTAAGCAACAGGGTAGCTATACCTTTAAGCAATGCATCTCATGTTCTATCTGACAATCACATCTATAAAGAGATATAATCGAAAAAGCTATTCGGGATGAACTGCACTAATATTTAAATTCTAAGAGCATCAATACTTATTCTGCAACTTGATTATATGCGCCAACAAATTAAGCATTGATGATTAGATCAAGTCACCAAGTGCGGCTAACCTCTTTGTTTGTAGCAGTGGGATTTGTTTTTTTGTGGAACTAGAACTCCTTAGCATGGTTGTGATACTAATACTATGAAAAATCCTGAAGGAAATGAAGTAATGATCCTAATCAAAGACTAGATTTTCTTTCTTAGTATCGATGCTACAGCAAGTACCATCAGGATTCAATATGATCTAATGGCAATGTTAAGGAATGTGTCAGAAATGAAAGAATGCAGAGAACCAAGCGTAGGAGTACTAACTTGCTTAGATAGAGATGAATGGACTCTGGCTAGAAAGAAATTAATGAAAAACAATCATCGAATTTTCGATCAAATTGACTCTTCACTATTTGTCGTTTGTTTAGATCAAGATGAACATTCAGATTTAGTTGGGTTTTCAAAAGAAGTCCTACTCTCTAAAGATGGAAGAAACAGGTGGTATGATAAATCGTTTCAACTCATTGTGTCACCAGAAGGATAGGCAGGCATAACTTTTGAGCATTCTTAATTGGACGGTGATACTTCTGTGGATTTTATAAAGATGCTAACAAGACTTGAAACTTGTTTCACAAGTACCTGTCCTTAATCTATGTCCTTCAATGATAGTGACTCATGATATTCCAACAATACTCAAGCTCATTGGAATATGGACAGTATTTAATCGATTTTAAGCCTTATAGAAGAAACTATTTAGAAATTCACATTGGAAGCACAGAGCATTCACTAGCAAATCTATCATAATGAAGAGCTAACTTGCCAATGGTTTGAGCAACACAATACCAAATCTGACACCTTTTGCTAATTTGCGTTTGAGATCGCTTTCTATTAAAGTTTTTAATGATATGCATCAATTATTGAGCCAGTTGCCTTAAAAATGTACACGAAAGGACGGTCTGATATCTCAAGATTTTTGTCAGAGGACTCTATAGATGATTTATAATGTTATTTAACTGACTAAGATGATATTAGATAGGTCTAAGCATTCAGCAACTTACAAAAGTTTCATATTGGATAACTTAAAGATATTTTTGCTGGCAATATAATCGATACACATTTATTCAGCCTAGAGGTAATGATGAACTCCTATGAAAGACATGAGTTATTTGATCATATATTATATAAACGATTAAATACTTGGGATATCCTCGCAAGTAACTTATCACCTGCAATTGGAGTTCAGACTACTGCTCTCTGTCCCGAAAGAACAAATCTTTTTGAAATCGCTTATTAAATTACCTCAAAGGGCATCAATGTAAATATATCTGACAAATCTCATAGCCCAGAGAGGCTCAAACTTTATATTGAAAATCTTAAGAAGATAATGATCTAACTTAAGACTAAACTAACAGTACTATATTAAAAATCCTATGATTGAATTATGATTAAAATCTTTTTAAGTATCAGATTTAATTATTTTTAAAATTTTATTTTTTTCTTGAGATGAAATATTCATTAACGGGGTTTTGGGGTTTTGGGGTTTTGGGG